GAGAGGCTTCACCAGAGACAGAGTGGGGAACAGAACAGGCAGATCGACGAAGTGCACTGCTGAGGGGAGCAGGGGGCGGGTCAGGAGAGGTCTGCCGCGCCATGTGGTCACCTCCAGGGCAGGAGGGAATCGAACTCATGCGGAAGCGGTTTTAGATTCTCAGTGCTGTGCTTTAACCCGCTGCGTCACCAGGGAGGGCGAGAAACTCTATAATTTAAAGCTGAGTTATTTAATTTCCTCAAATTCAATCACTAATCATATGCATTATCTTTCCTTCCTTTCTTTTTTTTTTTTTCTTCAGTGAAAGGCAGTATGAAATAAGAACATGAGGAATATCAGTCTGGACAAGAGCAGAAGCAGCAAAGCCACTTGGGAAGTGACTGCTGTGATCTATGTGGTAGATGGTAAGGTCCTCAGGATCAGATCAGGAGTAGTGTCTGCTGTGAGAGGTGGTCACAGGACTTACCCAGAGCTTCTGCCCAAACATTTTCTTGAATTTTGAGTTTCATATTTACCAAACATAAAACAGCCACTGTGGAAAAAAAGAATATTTTTTTTTTTGCCCTCATCATCTAGTCAATCAATGAATGATATTGAATTGAGCCTGAATTTCTTTAAAAATATTTTTTAATTTTCATTATATATCACTTTCCTTAATCCATTTTTTAAAAATTAAAATACAACATTTTTCTCCAAAATAATGAATCATGATATATGACCTGAACTCCCTTATTTACCTTCCTTGGATCTTCACAACTGTATCATGCCCTATACTCTGGCTATTAGGCATCTACAAAATTCAATTCTCCTTCATTTCTTCTTTTGTTATTTCCATAACAACTGGAATGTCTAATTATTCTTTCATCATTTGTCATGTGTTGTTACAATTTGATTGAAAGTTGAATATGAAATAAGGGAAGCATGAAATAAGGGAAGCCCTGGGTAAAATACAGCCCAGCCAGAATGCCAGGAGTGAGAATAGGAGTTGGGGAAAGAGAAGATAGCCCGGCTCCCCAAAGAGAATTGATTGGAGACATTTAGCTCATTCTGGGTTGGACCAGCCTGGTTATGTGCAGATGGGTTCTATTCCAACTGTACACATGGGTTCTGAGTTTTCTTCCTCCAGGAAATTGTGATAACCATTAGTCAGGATCTAACACTTTTTGTCTATTTGATGCCTCACAGTCAGCCTGGTGGCCAAATTGGACAAGGTCCAGCAGCCCATGACTTTCTCTGCTTTTGAGTGAATAGTTCCATTTAAACCAGTGAAGCCTGGGCCCTCCCTGGTGGGGAAGCAGGTTAAAGCACAGCAGTAAGAAGCTGAAGTCACTTCAGCATTAGTTCAATCCCCACCCAGAGGTGCAGCAGACCTCTCCTGACCACCTACTGCTCCCCTAAGGTCCATCTGCCTGTTCTGCTCCCCACTCTGTCTCTGGTGGATCCTCTCACTGTTCCTGCACCTCTGGCCTGTACCCCAGTTTGCATGCATAATAAACACATCTTTTTTAAAAAAAGGAAAATAGAGGGAAGCAATGAAAGTGACAAACATATAAAACAGGTTAATTATTTTACATGAAAGTGTTTTTTTTTCAATTAATCAAAGCTTATCTCCCCATATCTTTTATCATTTTAAAAAATACCTGTATGTCAATTGGGCCCTCCCTGGTGGCGCAGCAGGTTAAAGCACAGCACTAAGAAGCTTAAGCCACTTCCGCATGAGTTCGATTCCCCCCTGCCCCGGAAGTGACCACATGGCGTGGCAGACCTCTCCTGACCCACCGGCTGCTCCCCTCAGCAGTGTACTTCATCGGTCTGCCTGTTCTGCTCCCCACTCTGTCTCTGGTGAATCCTCTCACCCTCCGCATCTCTGGCCTGTACCCCAGTTCTGAATGAACAAATAAATAAATCTTTAAAAAAAAACTATATCAAAATGATAATGAAACTACTTAAAAATAGCGTGAATGTGAAGGGATTTAAGTGTCATTTTAGAGGAAAATTGAATTTTGTCTCTAAGAGACTGTGTCCCACTTAGCATATAACTGTTCATCATTAGGTAACTAGCTGATGAATCACATTAAGGCAGATGGAATGTCAACTTCTTTAACAAGCTAAGTACACTAAGATCGTTGTGTTCTAATTCTTTTTCAATGACATCCATCTGTATGTTTATAATGCAAATATTGGTCAGGAGCAGATGAAGCATTACTAAATAAATCTATGCCATTTTTCATTCTTACTCCCAACTAGAATATACATCATTTTCAGACACTATGCTGGTTCTGAAGATACAGAGTTAAATAATATTTTTATAAGGAATGTGTATATAATATTCAAGAATCATTCAAAACAGCAGCTACGATCTTTACAATTTCAATGTGTTATCTCAGATATTTCTGTACCTTGTACTGGATATGGAATAACTTTTATTTTAATTACAGGTGATTTTTTAGGAGATAAAAATACAAGATCATTTATTCAGAGTAATTCAGTAAACTGCAGAAAAAATGGAAACTTGATTAATAAGAAACAATTTTAAGAACGACATTGATTCAAGGCACAATCTGCTTCTTAGTGCTGCCTTGAATAAACTGCAGGAACTTTCCCAAGGCCACCATAACATCCTTGTTTCTCAGACAATATATTATAGGATTAAACATTGGTATCAAGATGGTATAAAAAAGGGAAAAGTATTTGTCCACTCCTGTTGAGTGAGTAGACTTAGGCTCCATATACACAATATTTGCTGATCCAAAGAATAAAGACACAACCATGAGATGGGAAGAGCAAGTGGAGAAGGCCTTGGCTCTTCCAGTGGCTGATGGCAGCTTCAGGATGGTGGAGATTATTTTCCCATAAGATGCAAGTATCAGCACAAATGGCACAGCAACAACTATGGTGGCAATCACATAAATCAGCATCTCAATCATGAATGTGTCCCCACAAACAGGCTGGACAACTGGGGGTACATCACAGAAAAAGTGATTCAACTCATTAGATTTACAGAAGTGTGAAGAGAAAATCTTGTAGATGAGTCCGATGGGGACCAGAATCCCAGTGATCCAACAGGCAGCTGCCAACTGCATACACAGTCTATGGTTCATGATGACAGGGTAGAGTAATGGGTTACAGATGGCCACATACCTGTCATAAGCCATGGCAGTGAGAATAAAACACTCAGTGGCTCCCAAGGTCACAAAAAAGTACATTTGAAAAGCACAGGCCAGAAAAGAAATACTTCTATTTTGTCTACAAAGATCTGCCAATAATCTGGGCACAGTGACAGACACATAACATATTTCCAAAAAAGAAAAGTTCCTAAGAAAATAATACATGGGGATCTGGAGTGAGGGATCGATATTAGTTATCATGATAATGAGACTATTTCCTGTAAGAATTACAATGTAGATTATCAGAAAGATAGCAAACAGAAATCCTTGAAGGTTGGGGACATCAGAAAAGCCAATGAGGATGAATTCCACCAGTGTAGTGTGGTTCCCCAGGGTGAAATGTTGGCCTGTGCGTTCCATCTATGAACAAAACAGTTTCAGTTTAGAGCTCAGTTCAAGTCTCTTGCCCACCTGAATCGTGCTACATATCAAATCAGTTATTTCACATCCATTGGCAAATATAAACACCAAGTTTGGGGGCTGATTTATTTTATATATTTGCCAAGATATCTCAAAGAAATATGCCAAAATTCCAGATTGTGAAAACAGTGATTCTATTTTTCCTGCCCATAGTTAGAATTGTTAGGGGATCACATTTAAGAGTCAGAAGAAAAAATGATTGTCACAACATGAGAACAAAGCAGGGCAGGGAATCTTTTTCTCAAACAGCTCAGTTACAAAGGTTTTTTTCTAATAACAAATGTTTCACCTGATCCGTAACTGCTTTAGTTGTCTACTTGTTTGCCTTGTACCATCTCAGTTACAATATTTATGGCAATTATTTATGGTTCTTTTACATTGTGTGTGATGTTTCTTCTGTGAATTTCTCTCAAGCAGGCCAGGTAGGTGGTCAGTGAGTCTCCACTGTCTGGTCCACTTCAGCCCACCTGGCCACTGCCCAGCTATCTCTATGAAAAATAATGCACTTTAACACATCCTATAAGCACATGGAATATGGAATATGAAAAAATGCATTACTTTGCTTGCAATATTTTAATTCTACTATCAGCTTTTTAGTTTAAAAACTCTATGTATATTCCCAATTTTAATGTTTTGAGAGTATTGAATAATTTTATGCATCTATAAGTTCATTTGACCAGAAATATAAAATACAGAAAGTATAAGAGAATTTGATCTGAATATTCAAATATGCCCCTATACTAAATGGATTTTCTGTCATTCTAGCCAAACTTTTATCACTAATAGCAATATCTGAATATAATTCTGTGATGAAATATGGTTGATTTATAATAGATAAAGTACATATAATAGCTAGTTAACATCTGATGTATTATATATATAATATATGCTGTATAAAATATACATTTTCAATACCTATATCGGAATTCTGAATACAGTGCCTAATATACTATATATTTTGCTGAATCATGAATAATTGTTTGATCATATATGTTCCATCTGTCCTGCACTGTGCTGAAGGCTAGGCCTCACTTTTGTTCATTCCATGCACACTTATCACTCATTCATGTGGAACAATGCCCATTTCACAGATTGTCACATAACCCTAAATCCACATTGTCATGTCTTTGGAATGATTCTCCACTTCCTATATTAATTTCTGTTTAACTTTCTAGAAAATAGAATTTCCTTTCTTTTTTCTATGACACCAAGATCTAATCATCCACAAGTCCCAAACATGAACAAATTATAATTTCTAAGTTTTGTTTCTTGGTGTTCCTACTCTTGAATCTCTTCGTCCTCAGTTCATGGAATCCTGTATTCTAACTGTCATTTCTCACTGCACACCCTCTTATGACAGTTCCTTCATGCTTCACTTCCTTTTAGGACTCAATTTTCAGAAGAAGAATCAAGGGTCGGGGGGTGGTTTATATCAAATAAAGTGTCTTATAAATTGAAATTCAGTTTGAACCCCCTCCCCCACCATGCTCTGCATTTTTTACTTTGTTTTAGGGTATTATTTATTTTCTCTTCCTTTTATCTTTTAGTTGCTATTTTCCCATTTTTACCTTCTCAACATTTTCAAGATTTATATTACCTTTCCTGTATGTGGGATTTTTGTTGTTGTTGTTGTTAGAAGCTATACCTTATGATAAACAACTAAAAAGTGTACTTAGCAAAATGACACAGAATTGCTTGATAAATATATCAGGTAGTAAAGTAACATGTAATATACATTGCACTTCAATATGGATAAGTGTTAAATGTTTCTTAAATACAGTGTGTTAAATGTTAACAATATTAATAATTTAATAATAGTAACAGCAGTGATCAATCAATTGTCAACTTATGTCTTTCGGAGCTTACAGACCAGTGGTAACATCAGGCAGGGACATCAAATATCACTTAGAAAATGCAGTTCTATGTGGAGAAAGTTACCTGGTCTTATTGGAGGCCACATACCCAAGAAAGTGACAGCTATTCTGAGATTTTTGTCAAATCAGAGGATACAGAATCATCATGGTATTTTCAACTTTGAGGGGGAAAAATCATTTCAGGAAATATAGGCCCTCATTCTGTTAAATTCAAATGGTTGTACAAGGCTTCCACAGCTGAGCAATTTATGACACCTGTTGATGGGTCATGGGATTGATCCCACCTGACTCCTCACTCAGCCCTAGGTCACTGCAGAATTCACTGAGAAGCCCTAGATGTTGAGTGACTCAAAATGAAAATTTGATGTAATTTGGTAATATTACCCAATTCAAATTAGCAGTGCTTATTTTTCCTTGTTAGAAAGCATACAGGAAAATAATATGAATGTAATTCATGGAGCTGTTTTGAGATGTAGGAGTATAATCTATTTAGCAGAATTACTTAAAAATGCAAGAATATTTCTATTATATGTTCATTATTGTACTTATTGTATTTATCATTATAATTTTAACTGAGATCCCTTTTCTTCATTTTGAAGTTTGGTTATCTTTTCTCCAGTAATGGAGTAGGCATTTTCCAACCTATCAGAGAAAAGACAGAAGAGGGTATTAATTTGGCAGGAATACAGAACTTTATATTAATATACTCTTATGCTGGTACAAACCAGCAGAAAAAAATGGATTTGAACTTATAGGATTTTACTTTTAGTTTTTCTTTCATCTGTACCAGTATGTTGTATTTTCAGTACATGAGAGAAGTGGACATAATATAAATACAAATAAAATTAAATTTAAATGTCTAACTCAAAACTTATATGATATTGTGAACATATCCCAAGATAACTTTTATAATTTTCTTTGCCTGTTTTCTGTTTGGAAGTTAATCTACTCTTTCCATAAAAATAGGGGTATATTGGCAGTTTTAATACAGTCTGTGGAGTTTTCTCTTTACCAAGTCTCTATTTTAATAGGAGATGTCACAGCTATGCTACATAGAAAGTCTGTTTTTTTTGAATTTTTTTTTATTTTAGCAGTATAATATAATCCATTATATAAAACTACACTGTTAATAAACTACTGAATTCTCTTCATCTGAGTAAAGTGGGTACTGTTATTATTCACTTTTTTCATAAAAACCAGATACATAAAAGTTAAGTATCTACCCCTAAGTCAAGAAGTTGGTATCTGACCAAGGTGACCTCACACCCAGCCAGTGATGTCAACTCAATATTCTTAATCAAAGCTGAATAGCTTTCTTAAAGTGTTCAATGAGAAGTGACTTGAAAATATAAGTAAAATTGGTCATATAAAACTCTTTACAATTATAATGTCTTTACATGTTCATTTTATATCTCTTATACAACTACATTTTTTTTATTTCATGTTCAGAGTTTTTTCTCAAAAATGACTTTCATCAGAAGAAAGAACATGTATTTTCAACGTCTTTATGTTCTCAGTTTTAAAATACACTATAAAATACAATTTTTTTAAAAGACATTATCATAAATAAACATGCAAAAATAATCTCTGCTTACCTTGTACATATTATGGAAAAATCTTCTCGTCACACATTTAGGAATAGCATATTGTGTCTTATAAATTACTGGGTTTTATTATCAAGTAACAACTCAACAACTATTATTCTTCTGTGATCTCACATTTCATTGAAATCCTGTGAACTTAGGTAGGAAACTGTGTCTTGGTCACAGAGAGAATAGAGTTGCCCTGGACATGTTTCATTTAAACTCCAAGCTCTGCGTGTCAGGCGGTAACCGGCAGAGCAGAGGGCTCTCCGGCTGGATCAGAGACGCAGTTCAGTTCTCTCTGGGGATGTGGGCTGTGGGGTGTCAGCCCCTGACCACTCCTCTGTCCTTGACTCTCCCTCCACTCCAGCTCTGGGGAGTACAGAGTCCTATCTGGCACCTTCATGGTGTTAAATTTGTGCTATAACTACGTATGACATATTATTATTTAGGAAAGAACCATTTTTTTTTACCTCAAAGAATGTAACTTGGAAAGTCTCTAGTGTTCATGCAACATACTGTGTGTGTGTGTGTGCGTGTATGTTTAAGGTTCTCTCCTCACATCAGCATATAATTTATTTTTAGTTACAGGGTCACATATAAGAAAAACATGAATTTAACTAGGAGGCAGTAAACTGAGTCTTGACTTGTGTCCAGCAGAAAGGTTGAGTAGGTTTGTTAACATGTATGGAAAGTAACCTAATACTCCTGCAAACAAGTGGAATATTTCAAATGTAGCACTTTTTTCTTCCAAAATAATAAGTGCCCTTGGTTCATCCCAGAACCCTTCCTGTATTTAAACAATGCAGCCAATGTGCTTTCTCCGCAGTGACTGCCTGGCTTCTATTTAAAAGGTTTCTATCAATGTCAACTTTCATACTTATAATTAATCAAATTTTATAGACATTAATTTCTTTCTTCCTTCAAATGCACTGTGAGTTTTCTTATATACTGCCTGCTAAAAATGTGTCCTTGTATGACTTTGCTAAGTAGTGGTTTTGCAGTCTTTCAGAAAGTATAGAATATGTTCTGAACTTAAATGCTGAAACTAGAATCAATTGCTTGAATAGTAAAAGAGGGAGGCAGTGAAAGTGATAAACATGTACAACTAACAAATTAATCATTTTTCATGACCCTTCTTTCCAGTTATTCAAATGTTTGTCACCCCATAACTTTTATCCTTTTTATATTTAAAATCTGTACTCTGGAGGTATAATGAAGTTATGTAAATTAATATAATGAATGTGATGGGATTTAAGTGGCACTGTAGAAGAAGACTGAATTTCGTAACTAAGAAAGTATGCCCTTTTAGGATAAATTTGCCTCTTACTAGGTAGTTAGCTGATGAACCATACTAAAAGTATATGGAATGACAACTTCTTTAATAAGTTACTGCACTTAAGGATTGCTCCAAGCCTTCCTCCAAGTCTATTTATATGATTGTAAATATTGATCAGAAGTAGATAAAATATCACTAATTAAACCTTTGCTACTTGTCACACTACTTCTAAAACAATTGGATACTGATCATTTCCAAACAATATATTGATTCTGGGGATAGAAAAGTGAGCACAAGTTTGTATAAAGAATATAAAGAACATGTAAATAATATCAAGAAACATTTAAAAAAGCAGCAACAATAATTATGATTAAAATATGTTATTGCAGGGCCCTTTCTAGTGGTGCAGCAGGTTAAAGAACAGCAATAAAAAGCTAAAGCCACTTCAGCATGAGTGCAGTCCCTCCCACATCCAGGTGACCTACATGGCGTGACAGACCTCTCCTGACCCGCCCACTGCTCCTCTCAGCAGTGTACTTTGTCAGTCGGCCTGTTCTGCTCCCAACTCTGTCTCTGGTAAAGCCTCTCACTGCCCTGCACCTCTGGCCTGTACCCTAGTTTTGTATGCATAAATAAATAAGTCTTTTTAAAAATGTGTTATTTCAGAAATTTCTATACCTTCTGTTGAGTTTAGGATAACTTTATTATTTAAAATTACAACTGAATTAATTTTAGAGATGAATATGTAATATCTTTTATTTAGAGTATTTCAAACCTAGCAAAAATGAAGGAAAAAACAAATGAAAACTTGGTAAATAATAATTGTAGAATGGATTTCAGTCAAGACACAGTCCATTTCTGTAGGAACTTTCCCAAGGCCACCATAACATCCTTGTTTCTCAGACAATAAATTATAGGGTTAAACATTGGTATCAAGATGGTATAAAAAAGAGAAAGGTACTTGTCCATTCCTGTTGATTGAGTAGACTTAGGTTCCATGTACACAATGACGCCTGATCCAAAGAACAAAGTCACAACCATGAGATGGGAAGAACAAGTCGAGAAGGCCTTGGCTCTCCCAGTGGCTGATGGTAGCTTCAGGATGGTGGAGATTATTTTTACATAAGATCCAAGGACCAATAAAAAAGGAATATTGATAATTGCTGTAGCAATCACATAGATCAATATCTCAATCATCAAAGTGTCCCCACAAGCAAGCTGAACAACTGGGGGTACATCACAGAAAAAATGATTCAACTCATTGGATTTACAGAAGGGTGAAGAGAAAATCTTGTAGATGAGCCCGATGGGGACCAGAATCCCAGTGATCCAACAGGCAGATGCCAACTGCACACACAGTCTATGGCTCATGATGACAGGGTAGAGTAATGGGTTACAGATGGCAACATACCTGTCATAAGCCATGGCAGTGAGAATTAAGCACTCAGTGGCTCCCAAAATCACAAAAACATCCATTTGAAAAGCACAGGCCAGAAAAGAAATTCTTCTATTTTGTCTACAAAGATCTGCCAATAATCTGGGGACAGTGACAGACACATAACATATTTCCAAAAAAGAAAAGTTTCCAAGAAAATAATACATGGGGATCTGAAGGGAAGGATCAACCTTAGTGATGATGATAATGAGGGCATTTCCCATAAGAATAACAATATAGATTATTAAAAATGTACCAAACAGAAATCCTTGAAGTTTGGGAACATCAGAAAACCCAATGAGGATGAATTCCACCAATGTAGTGTGGTTCCCCATGAGGGAATTTTGCCCTTTGTATTCCATCTATAAACACAATAATTTTCAGTTTAGAGCTCAGTTCAATCTTCTGGCCCACCTGAAAAGTGTTGGTATTAAGTCAATGAGTTCAAACCATTGGCAAAAGAAAAAAACAGTTTTCTTGCTGTTTTATTTTATATTCTTGCTAAGATATTTCAATGCAACATGCTAACATTCCATATTGTGAAAACAGAAACTGCATTCTTTCTGCCTATTTTAGAGGCTCATGTTTAAGATAAGAAGAAAAATCAGATAATCATCCAAGGAGCTTTTTTCTCAAACAGCTCTAGGTGTTTGAGGCTCTCACTAGAGGTAGCCTGGTTGCCTTAATCTTCTATTTTTTTCTGCCTATCTCAGTTGCTATCTTTATGGTCCTTTCTTTGTGTGTTTTATCTTTCTCCCGTGAATTCCTCTCATGTCACCTACAGACCAGTGGGTGAGAAATCAGTAAGTCTCTTCTGCCTGGTCCACTTCAGCCAACCTGGACACTCCCCAGCTATCTGTCCTGGAAATAATGTACCTTAGCACATCCTATGAGCACATAAAGTCTAGTATGATTTCAAAATAAAGTATGATTTTGCCAGTAATATTCTTAATTCTACCATCATCCCCCTAAATTTTGACAGCTCTAAGTGTATTCCATATTTTAACTTCATCTTAAGTGTACACCAGTAGATTTATGCATCTATGTGGTAATTTGGCAAAAAAGAGGAAAAAGGAAATTATGAGACCTGAGCAGGATGGTCAACTATACCCCTCAACTAATGGAATCACCAATGTAATCAACCTCTTCTCTCCAATGTGAGTATTTGTATAGCATTCTGTGATGTAATATTTTAGATAAAAATAAATGATGTGCACATTTTATATGGTTAATATATGGTATATTTGCATATGATATATGCTTTTATAATAAATACTTAAATATCTATATTTGAATTCTGAAGAGTGCCTAATACAATACACTGCAAGCAAAAATATATTTAGATCAAATATATTCAGTCCGTCCTGCACTGAGCTAAATGCTAGATCTCACTTTGATTAGTGTCCACCCTACCTCCGTACCACTCATTTATGTGAAACAATGCCTATTGTACAATTTCCCCATAAACCTAAATTCACTTTTCCATGTGTTTGGAACTAACTCCACTTCAATACCAAATTAAGCCTAACTTCCTAGAGAATACAATTTCATTTCTTTCTAAGATACCAAGATCTTCTATTCACTCACAGACCTCAACAGATGAATAAATTGTAACTTCTACTTTTTCCTTCGTGGTATGCCCCAGTATTAATCCTTCCTCCTTGGTTCACGGAATCCTGCATTCTGACTGTAACTTCTCACCACACAGCATCAGATGATGGCTCCTCATAGCTCATCTCCTCTTAGGACTCAATTTTTCCAACCAAAGGATCAAGGGATACAAGGGGTGTTTTATATGAAATAAAGTATCCTATAAATTAAAATTCATTGTGTTGGCCCTCCCTGGTCTTTGCTTCTAAGATGTCATTTATTTTCTCCATCTTTCAGTTTTGGATAGTCATTTTCCCATTTTACATCTTCTCAAATTTGTCAAGATTGATATTACCTTTCCAGCATGTAGTATTTTCTTTATAAGATATCCCTTATGAAAAAATAAAAAATATTTAGGTAAATGAAATGGATTTCTTTCACTAAAAACATCAGGTAGGCAGACGATGTGAAATATACATTATGGTCCCTTATGGGTCAATGCGAAGTGCCTGTTAAATAAAAATTGTGTTAAATGTCAAGGATAATAATAGTAATAGTAATAATAATTTAGCATATAATATGAGTTCAGTTATGTCTTCACAGCACATACAGACCAGTTGGAAAGTCAGGTAGGGAAGTCAAATGTCACCCTAGACATTGCAGTGCTAAGTGGGGAGAGTTGCCTCTCTCACAAGAGGGCCACGTTCCTAAGGAATTGACAGCCACTCTGAGATTTTGTCACATTTGAGGAGCATCACAGAAATGCTGGTGTTATCACTTTATGCAAATAGATAAGAAAACATTTAGGAAATATAGACCCTCATATCCTCACCCTGTTGATTCCAAATGATTGTACAAGGTTTCTGTGCATGAGTGGTTTATAAACACCTGCAGAAATGTCATGAGAATGATTCTGACTTACTCCACTGACATGCCCTAAGTAAAGAGCTCACTGACCAAAGGCCTTGATATTAAATGAATTTAAAATACAAGTTGATAAATTCTAGTAATATAACCCAATTCAAATTGGCTGAGTTTAATCTTCTGTGCTTGAAGACATACCAGAGATGATAAGAATGTAACTCAAGGAGGTGGTTTCAGAGTTTAGTAACACAATCTATTTAGTTGGGTAACTTTTAAGGTGCATTTGTGTTCCATTAGGTATCTTTCCATGATCATTATCATCCTTATTCTACTTCTCATTATAATTTTAACTGACATCCCCTCTTTTCATTTTGAAATTTAGTCATCTTACATTCAGTAGTGGAGTAAACATTTTCCAGCCTATCAGAGGAAAGAAAGAACAGGGTACATACAAACTTGCCAGGAAAACACATCTTCAAATTAGTATACTAAACCAGCAGCAAAAATTAGAGAAAAAAAAAACATTTGAATGTACTGAATTTTTACTGTTAGTTTTTCTTTCTTCTCTATTTGTATCTTTTATTTTGAATATATGAGATTATACATAAAAATATAAAGACAAATTTAACAAACAAATGTTTATAATATTGAGATCATATTCTAGGATAATTTATCTGACAATTTGCCTACTCTTGAATTGACGTACTCTCTCCACCAAAATTAGTGGAGAGGTATATTGGCAGTTTTCATATGGTTTATGGAGTTTTCCCTCTATCAATTTTCTATCTCAACAAAAGTTATCATAGCTATACTGCTGGTTATTAGAAAATATTTTTTAGATTAATAGTTTATCATTTTTAATAAACTACAGAAAGCTCTCATTCATTACATTTGAATAACGTAGCTACAATTATTATTTACATTTTGCAAAAAAAAAAATATCAGATAAATAGAGAGTTCAGTATCTTTCTCAAGGTCAAGAAGCTGGTGTCTTATCTAGGTGACCTCATACTCAGCAGGGTGATGCTGACTCCACGCAACCAAACTCAATGGTTTTCTTAAAGCATTTAATGAAAAGTGATATTTTGAATATCATATTCTGTAAAATACAAGTAAACTCAGCATACAAAACTTTTTACAAGAGCTCTTAACTACTGCCCATACAATTATAGTATATATTTCAAGTTCAGAGCTTTATCTCACAAAGGAATATGATCCGAGGAAAGAAAAGCTGTTTTATTGAATATATATTCTAAATTTCAAAATCACTATAACATAAGAAAATATTTTTTTAAATACTATCAGAAAATAATTGGGGCAAAATAATTTCTGCTTACCTGGTGGCTATTATGGAGAAATCTTTGTGAAAATCTTTTGAAAGGAATAATGTTTTATATAGAGATTTCTGGATTTTATTATCAAGTAACAATTCAACAACTATTATTCTTTCCTGATTTCATATTTTATATTTCATTTAAATCCACAGTGAAGCATAGGAAGGAAATTAAGCCTTATTCACTGAGGACAGTGCTGCCCAGACATGTTGCATTTAAACACCAAGCTCTGTGTGTCAGGCGGTAACCGGGAGAGCACAGGGCTGTCCGGCTGAATCAGAGACGCGGTTCGGTTCTCTCTGGGGATGTGGGCTGTGGGGCACCGGCCCCTGACCACTGCTCTGCCCCTGGCTCTCCCTCCATTCCCTTCTGGGGAGTACAGTCATCTTTTGTGACTCCTTCATGGTGTTAACATTGTACTATAAACTACACATGACATTTTATTATTTAGGAAAACACTATTGCTCTACCTCAAAGAATGTGACTTGGAAAGTCTCTAGAGCTCATGCAACATACAGAGTGTGTGTGTGTTTGTGTGTGTGTGTGTGTATTAAGGACATCTGCTCATTGTTCAGTACAGCATAAAATTTATCTTTAATTTCAGGGACTTACAAAAGAAAAAAATGAAGTTAACAAGGACATAGTGCATTGAGTCTTACATTTTCTCCATGGAAAGTTTTGAAAAAGAAAACACATTGGCCCTCCCTGGTGGCTCTGTGGGTTAAAGCGCAGCACTGCAAAAGAGCCACAGCCACTTCAGTGTGAGTTCGATCCCTGGCCTTGGAAGTGACCACATGGCATAACAGACCTCTCCTGTCTCGCCTGCTGCTCCCCTTAGCAGTGTACTTGGTCGGTCTGCCTGTTCTGCCCTCACTTTGTCTCTGATGAATCCTCTCACCGCCCCTGCACTGCTGGCCTGTACCCCAGCTCTGTATGCATAAATAAATAAATCTTAAAAAAAATGAAAAGAAAAAGAAAACATATTAAGGGTTATATAAAACACTAAGAGAGTAGAACACATATTATGGTTGCTGTGACTCTTGACAGACTTGGTAAATTATTATTCCATGCACTCAATATTGACTTAGTAGGCATCAATAAATATGTAACTCTGAACAATGATCTCAGGAGACACAAAGACCTTTGCAACCCTTATATTGATCACCAATTTGACTGCTTGAATCCTACTCCTCGTTAAATTGAGTCGGTCAGTGATACTATATGAAAAGTAACCTACTACTGCTGCAAACAAGTAGAAGGATTCAAATGCAGCACCTTACCCCTATACTGTAACAAATGTTCTTGGTACTGCCCAAAGCTCTTCCTCTTCTTTAAGCAATAAAGCTAATGCGTTTTCTCTTCAGAGCCTGCTTGGTTTCTATTGAAAATGGTCCCATCAATGTTAATGTTCACACTTAAAATTTATCAATTTTTTATAGATACTACATACTACAATTTTTGCTTTCCCTAAATGCATTTTTAAACTTTGTCATCTAAAAAGAATATATTTTATGTACATAATTTACTTCCTTCTAAATGTATCCTTG